ACACAGATGTAAGCTCTAGAAAGACACATATTTTTTGTTTTTTTTTCAATTGTTTGTTTCTGTGATGTATCTCTGGGATCTAGCACAGCCATCTAATTGGCACAGAGAAAGAACTTAATAAATGTTTGTTAAATGAATAAATAAATTAATTTAAATAAATAAGCAAGAAGGAAGAACATTCGGGAATATAATCTCCTTTTAAAATCCTAGACACATTGACAGAGATAGGGGTCATTGTTATACATATTTAATTGTGGGAAAATTAGTCTTCGTTCAACAAACAACCAAAAACCCCTAAATCTGTGGAAAGGCTTTTGAATGAATTCAAGATTATCTCAGGTAAAGACTACTAAACATAGCATATAAAAGTAAAATACTTATGAAAATCAGGAATAAAATGCTCAATGAGTTAAGAATCATACAAGAGCCATCTATTGAGATTCTTATTTTCTGTACAATAAAAATTGGGGGAAATTAAAAACAAAAAACAATTTCTTGCCACTGCAGAAATAAAAATTATTCTGTATTCATTTCAAAAGACTTATGAAGCCCAGCCTGTGTGGCTCAGTGCTTGAGCATCGACCTATGAACCAGGAGACCTATGAACCAGGAGGTCAAGGGTCAGGGCACATGCCTGGGTTGTAAACTCAATCCCCCATGTGGGGCTTGCAGGAGGCAGCCAACCAATGGTTCTCTCTCATCATTGGTGCTTCTATCTCTCTCTCTCTCCTTTCTTCTCTGCAATCAATAAAAATCTTTTTAAATAAACTATGAAAATAATAAAGTTTGGAGAAATTCAAAGTTACACTGCTCTAGGGTATCCATGAGCCAATCAATTTGTCTGTGGATTCTCTGGGTCTCTTATTCCTCCTTCTCATGTTTACTGTTGATTATTTGACCCTTGTATGGTCTGTTGGCAACTCTCACAAGAGAGCAAACTAGAGTAACAAAATGAAGCATAAATTAAAGCAGCCAGGAGACTATGTTGGGATCTTGGTCTGGACAGTAAGAAAAAAAAAAATATGCCTAGCATTTAAAAGTATTCACTAAACAGAGTACTGGAAACCAGTTGCTAACATTGGTTAATCCAATGTAATTGAGGTGAGAATTAAAACTGCCTTAGAGTCAACTCATAGAATAAAAAGAATTCACAATATATGTAAATATGCAAACAAAGAAAAAAAATGGGAGAGTAGAAGGGTGAAGAGATACAAGTCTCTGCTATAGGAATTATCTACTAGAAGAAATTTAACATTATGGAAGTACATCTAATATAAGCAAAAACTAGTGCCAAATAGGGTTCTACTACTTACTAGCAGTAGAAACTGGGTCAAAACACATAACTCATAACCTACTTTCTTATTTGTATAATAAGAATAGAAATCAACTTTCTAATAAAGTTTTTGTAATAAATTATTTCCGTCCTCCATATTTAAATTTCAGTTTCTATCACATGTTATCAGCCTATCTAGCCAAGGGTTGACAGTCATCTCATTGTAAGCCTCATCTTTTCTTTCAATTTTACAAAAATAAAACTCTGAAAAAATATCTAGAGAGTAATTAACATATGGCTAAAACTATCATGGGAAATATAAAAAGATAGATTAAAAAATGCAACTGGGGTTTGTTTTAAACCAAAGTCAGCCTATTGGTAAAAATATGTTTTTCTTCAATTGCACAGAAAAATATTATAAAACTCTAATTAAAAACTATGGCAAGGCATCTCTTGGAGAAGAAAGATTTTCTTCCTTTTGTATAGACTAAAGTGCAAAAAAAATGCTTTGTCATTTGTAAACATAGTTGAATGTAAGTTCTATGGGAAGGCGTATCTTTGTTTCATTCATTACTAACTCCCTTAAATAGCACATGACTTTTAATAGGCAATTAAGAAATAGTTTTTAATGAATACAGTATGCACAGATTGTGGTGCACTTGGCACAGGGGTGGGTTCCATATGCCTCTGCAGGTGACCATATACAATTAAAAAATAATAAAGGCAGAATTCATTAGCACCTAGATAAAATGCACTATAGCTATTTCTATAGTATCTAAACCATCATTTATAAACTCCTAGACTTTTGTGGAAGAACTGCATAGTCCATATGTAATATGTATAAGTATATGTATGAAGATAAAATGTCTAATATTTTCTTGAACAAGGATAATATAATTTCTTGAAATGAGCAGAATATACACCCTTCATGACAGAGAAGAAAAGAGAGTTAAAAGTTTGGGGAAAATTTCTACTCCCCTGCTTAAAAGTCAAATCCCTAAACTTTAGTTTTGTTTACTTTAAAAAGACTTTGTAGAAAATAAAATTAAATTATTTTTATTTAGATGTTGATATGCCAGGCAGACAGCTATGAACAGAATTTATTTAATATTAATAGGATATAATAAATATCAAAGTAAAATAATTTTTAGAATGCTTACTACAGAAACACAATAGATGTGGACTACAAACCACACAGACTAAACTAGGGATCTATAGATGTTTACCCTGAGGCTAGTAATAAATTAGTTTAAAATTTGCCAAAGTAATTAGCACAACCTCTTTGCCAACTTTCTCATAAAGTAGATAGAACGAGCAATCCAAAGAACAATAAAAAAGAATTTTCTAATGAATCCATTCTCCTCTGAAATTGTACGAGAAGAAAGGTCACTTTCTCATTTAATAGCTTATCTTTTGGTACCCCTTATCATTTTTTATTGTTGATATTTTATGTATTATGCTCTATTTATGCATTCTTCAATAACATCTTTATTTATGACTTTGTGAATCAACATCTTTGTGATAAGAGGTGAAAGTCACTTAGCTAATTACACATACTTAATAAGCAGCATAATAATAACTACTGCAGTATTGCACATTAGTTGAAGAGATGTAAATTACTGTAGTGTTTATCATTTGAGAAAAACAAGAGACTTTGTTTCAGTTGTTTTAAAACACCCTTCTTTGTTGCCCTCACATCCACCTTCTTAAGTATACTACAATTTTGACCCAAACCATGGTATCATATCTAATAATAGACAAACATGGTAACTGACTGTACCTTTGCTACGCCTCCCATTGGCGAGATATGTAAATTAACCACCAACAAAGATGGCGTTAATTTACATACATAAGCTCAAAGCTGCGGAGCTAAGACTGAAGGCAACTCCGGCCAGAACAGTGAGGCTTGAAGGCGGCTCCAGCCGGAGCGAAGGCCTGGGTCCCAGGTGCCGGAGGAAAACCCGTACCGGCAGCCAGGGGAAGGGAAGGCCTATTGCATGAATCTTTTCATGCAACAGGCCTCTAGTCCATAATAAAATAAAGGTTGAGTCCCATTCTACTAGTATGACCTAAGATATAAGAACAAGAACAAAACCAAACCAAACGCAATTCAGTGAAAATACTCCTGATCTGAAGTCAAGTATTTTGTTATATAAAGCTTCTTCCATAGAATGTAATCCCAGTAAAATAGAATGGTGTAGTCATTCCCCACCCCACAAGGGTTTTGTAATAAAATCTGATTTGACCCAGCCAGGAAACTAGAAATACATAGGGAGATAGAATGTATAGCACTTGAATATTAATATGACTTCCATATGAAGATTGAAATTCTACAAAGTTATGAATAGGGTAAAAAATAACACTTAGATGATTTATTGCCATAGAAAATCATACTCTCCTATGAGTGATTTACTGAATGTTATACAAAAAAAAAGTGTGGACAAGATACATTCAGATGCAAGCTTGCAGCTGTCAGTGTCTACATTTGCTCAATCTGGCTAGAGGATGATTTGAAGGTTGATTTAATTGTAGCTTCTGAATCATGTTCTTCCCTATGTTTTAAAATGTTTAACATAAATATAAAAATGTTAAAGTAATTTTAAGACTGTAAATATTTAGTATAAAAATCTGCAAAATCTCATTCTCTATTGGAAGAGTAGCTGAAAATGAAAAGACTGTCTTGGGGAAAAATACATCACCTAATAATAGCAATTGCCCAGTAGTTATATCAAATGTACCCTTACATGAGAAAGTTCACAGGGTGCTCAGAAGGAGCTAAGAATACATAAACGAAACACGACATCTGTGACTGAATTTATCAATGTTATGAGGAACAGAAATCTCTATCTGCAGAACAGGGTTCAGAGATCACAAGTTGACCAGCTAGGAAGGAAGCATTGCTCGGGTTCCTTGCAGGCAATGTAATAGCCTAAGTAACCTTTCCTCAGTGCACCAACTCAAGGCAGAGATTCAACTCTTGTACATGCTACCAGCACCTGTGGATGCTACCAGCACCAGAACACAAGGCATCACAATGAGCTTTGTAAATGTGAGCTACTCAGCTAGAACTCTCCTTAACCATCCTTCTATTCTGACAGGCTTCATTGAATTCCACATATCACCTAACCGTTCACTTTCCAACATCAGCAAATCATCCTTAGGGAGAATGTCTTGTTCTTCCTCTGCAAGCTTTTTCCCCATGTTTTATTTCCACTTTTATACATACCTCCTTTTCTACATATTTTCTTGCCGGGTTTTCTGGCACATTCCTTGGATATTCTTTTTACTGAAAAATGAATAGAAGACTAGAAAATAACATGGCGCTCCATCACAGACCGCCGTAACATGCAACACCACTATCTAACTTGATATAATCCTGTTTTTTACTGAGTGCGAAAAATCCCCAATTCGTTGAGCCTGCACATGCAATGGAGAAATGTTGATGCATCTTCTCAGAAGTCATTCGGTAGGAAATGGAAATTAGAAACCCATTTCTACCTAAAGATACGTGCTGTCAAGGAAAGAATGAATAGGCATAGGAAAAAAAATAACAGGTACACCGACACACATAAACAAAAGAGCAGCATGCACACATGTAAAATATGTCTACATGCCCACAGAAAAAGCCATGCATGCTACCAGTACACATGAATTAATATTGTTAAAACTTAGAATAGAAAAGAAAAAATATAAATATATCTCCCTGTTTTTCCTGCAGTAAACTCACCATCCTCAGTTGGGACATATATGTTTAAATACAGGCAGTCTTCACTCTGGTCTTGTACATATGATGAAACCACATCCAAGTTATTAGTAAACCACACAGGAAGCATGACTTCTGGCAACCTGCCATCGATGATATTCTGGGGACACACGGGAGCAAATTGAGTGGCATTCCTGATATCTGACCAGGGGGATGGTGGCTCTGGAGGCTGAAAACGATGTTCCCCTGTTGGCGGTGCTGCATATGGAACCCCCAGAAACTGAATAACAGGCCCCAAGATTTCATTATTGAGTTCTTTCTTAATCCCTCTGATCTTGCCGAAGTTGGTAGTCACCAGTGGGTCTGCATCATCCAATTTTTGGGAGAGTACGTGGGCAGCCTGAAGCAAACATGCCAACACACAGAGAGTCAACGAGGCGCCCAGTCCCCTGTGTAACAAGCATGACATTACTGCTCTCCACACATAACTTGGCCACGTGCATCTGGGCAGTGCCATAGTCCCACATTAGTTGTCTAGTTGTCCGGTTACAGTGAGGCAAAAGTATCTGTATCCACTTGAGAAAGACCTTATAATGGTAGAATGCACCTCTTATTTCTTAAAGGTGAACTTGCCGAGAAAAGCTCAGAAAGCTCTTCCTGCAGCCAGCATCTCCCATTGATTCACATGTATTGAAGGAGCATCTTCAGTCATCACTATTTATCAGACCAAATCCTATTGACCACTCTGTTTTCCATAGTAGCTACGTGGGGAGAGAGGCCATTGACTGTAGATTCCCTCTTATAAATCAAATCCACTTAGCTGCAGATCTCTATCCTAGAGAAAATGAAAATAAATCATTAGCACAAACAAGCTAAAATGGTCAGAGTGACAACTAGATGTTTTACAAGCTCCAGGAAACATTAATAGTGGCTAGAGCCAAGTAAGTCAAATATTACTATAGGAAAATTTCGGTTTGACATGACAAGTGAAATACCTATTAGATTGAGAGACTTGCCTGACAACTTTATACACTGGTAAGTGGAAGCAGGCCTTGTCAAAACATACAGTTGCAAGAGCATTCCACAGTGTAGTATTTTTCAAATAAAAGTGATGTGTGAAATTTCCCCTTTATTGATACTCTTCAATTACTTCAACAAACAACACAATTAATCAGCAAATGTGCTCAAAATTAGAACTCAATAACAGAAAACCTTATTGAAAACATAAATATTGGGAGAGAATTAGTAGAACATAAACAAAATCTGCTAGAATAATTGTATATGTTAAAGAATAAACAAAAAGTGGTCCCCAATCTATGCTATGGAGAAAAAAAAAAAAGCTAATGTTATAACAAGAAAACTACTATTAGTTGAAGTATAATCATTTAAGTACAACTACCTAATAACGTAAACCTCTTGGCTGTTTAGCAAAATTCTGCATCAAATCATTAACTACAAATAGTCACTTTAAATTAAGGGTAAAAAAATTTAAATGACACAGTGGACTTAGATACAATTTGAAAAAGCAACAGAAGTTGGCATCATTTTTTTTTTTTACAGGCAGTTTTCTTACCGTCTAGCTACACAGTGTAAGTACCAGTACATTTGCAAGGTGAAAATTAATTTCTGAGTCAAAGTCAGTATATTTTAAATTACAAATGTTGTTATCACTATCTGTTAGAAATCAAAGAAAGAATTTTTTTTAAGAAAAGACTGTTTCTAAGTTTAAAAGAACAATCATACCTAATCATTGCATCTTGCATATCAACACTAATCAAACATCTAACACTGTTTACCCAGTTCAACCTAACATGCATCAGAATAGAATGTAACATTCCCCGCAGTGCCATTCAGAGTGTAATCTTACATTAACTGCAAAACAGCATACAAGTTGGCAAATCTGTCTTTTCTTATTCAAGCCACCTTTTAAAGAGCTTACTTTGAAAATAACAGTGTTGATATGTATGACAGATGCTTCTGTCACATTATGAGAGGATTCTCGAAGAAGTGCTGCTCTGGCAGTGAGGCCGCCCTGACTGCTATGGAAAAGGAGATTGTAAAAACCATAGAGGTCAGCAAGAGATTTGGTTCAGGCCTAGTGTTCCTTGAGCTCATCACAGAAGGCAATAAGGAGATAAATGTCTTTCTTCAAAAATACTCCAGTCCGTGTTAATTCACATACCTTTGCTGTGAAAGCACATTAACATACAAAAGACGGGCTTAGGCCCATCCCATTCCTGTCCCAGAACTTTAGCATGTATTGAAGATTTAGCTACACAAACCCATTTCTGTTTGGAGTACATTATGCTTATTCTTGTGCAGAATCCGGGTGGGCCACAGCATGGCTGCCTTTCCTAGTAACATTTCGGTGTTAAAAAGCACCCTTTTATACCTAAAATAAAGAACCTGTGGTTAGGTTTTAAAAGTCACTCACTATTTTCTGTTCAGTCTAATTTTCAAGTACCACAATTTCCAAGAGTTCTTCTTTACACACTTGGTATTTCATTAACAATACAAAATAACATCCCAGCTGGCATAGCTCAGTGGTTTAGCATCGACCTATGAACCAGGAGGTCACGGTTTCATTCCCAGTCAGGGAACATGCCACCTGGGTTACAGGCTCGTTTCTCCCCCTCCCTTCTTCTCTGAATTCCATATAAATATATTTTGAAATATTATTTTAAAAAAATCAATAAATAACACTTCTGTTTGTATTTGCGAATCCTTAACTGTGTTACAAATAAAGGGTCTCCTGTTTCCCACTGATGTGCTACTTAACACAAACTGTGACAGATTCGAATTCTGCACGCAATGGCAAATTTTCAAATTCTAATAATGCTTAGCTTCCAAGGTTACAAAATTATCCCATTTCTCATGGGTTCAATGTATAGAGAACTACAGTGTTGACCCCAAAGATTTTTTAGAAGTTGCTATTATATTAGCAGTCACCCAAGTCTAATGTGAAAATACGGCTGGTTTGAATAACTGAAATTAAAATATTGATAGATAGATATAGATATGGATATTTTTCCTATTTATTGGTTCTTCTTTAGTAGATGCCAAACCCTTAGCTTTTATGTGTTTACAATCTCATTTACAACCACCCTATAATATGGGTTCAGCAATCATCCCCTTTTTACTCATGAGAAACTGAGAGTTAAAGAGGTTAAATTCCTTGGCCGAGGTCTCTCAGCTGATTAGCTGATCAATAACAGATCCAGGAGCCCAGTGGCATCTGATTGAAAGGCCATTCTCTTGATCATTGTACATGATATAGTCTTTCATTCCACAATTAGCACTTTAAAAAACTGATCCTAGTACTTTTAAAATTGAATTGTAAGAGCATTTATGTTCCTGCAGAAGATAGTCTAGGTAAATACTCTGACAATGTCATAGAAACAGAGAAATGTAATTGGCATGCTCTGTTCTTATTGAAAGCTTATATTTTACTCTGTTACATTTTTTACCTTTTTATCTTTACATTGAAAGCCATGATAGATTGTTCATGTTAAAATAATGGGTAACCAAAAAAAAAAAAAAAAAAAAAAAACCACTCCCAAATTCATAATAGCCTAAATGTCCACTAATAGATATTGATAAATGAATTATGATATATTCATAAATTGAAATTCTGTACTTCAGTGAAAATAAAAGACCTCGACCTAAATATATCAACATAAATAAATATCAAAACGTTTAATAAAGCAAGTTGCAGAAGATTAGGGGCAGTAAAATGCTATTAAATAAATGAAGCTTAAAATAAGTAAAATAATTCCATATATTATTCATGGATACATAAATATGTATTAACAAGGCATGTTTCATTCCTGAGTAAGGAGGAAAGAGAATGAAATTAGTTCTAGTTATTAATTAATTAATTCACATAATTAATTAATTGGCACCTAAGATAGATAACCTGTGATGAGGCCTTAAAAAAACAGCAATTAATTAAGTTTTACATATCTTAGCATTTGATAGTGGTGGGTGATAACACACACACACACACACACACACACACACATATACACACACACACACACATATACACACACACACACATATATACACACCTTTGTTTGGAATTTTCTGTATTATCCTGTATGTTTGAAATATTTTGTAATAAATATATTAAAATAATGAGATCAGAAAAGCTTTACTCAGCAGAGCAGGCAAGTAGTTGAGCTTATCAATCCATACAGGACTCACTTCATCTGGCTTTGAAGTTAGTGGAGATACCAGCTCAAAAATCCCTCCATTGTTTCTCCCCTTGGGTTAATGCATGTGTTATCATACTGAGAGAAATAAAATAAAAAATGAATAAAACTTAAAGAGACATAAATGGGAATAGATTATGTCACTTTCATTGATTTATCAAAATAACTGGTTTATCCACTAATTTGTGCCTGAGTGACCCAGTCCAAAGGGATGATTATAGAGAGAGCAGAGAGAAGTACAATCCATTCATTGCTCCCAAATAGCTACAATATTATAAAGAAATACGTCACATAAAAATAAGTCACATAAAGAAATAAGTCACATAAAAAATGGCTCTAATGCAGGTTGGAAGGTGACATGTTCAACCAATACATGATGAGTTGGAGGTAGGATCCAGGAGGAAGTTTCTGACTGCTAATTTTACATAATTTTTTGTGTTATATTTTTTATGTCACCTGTTTTCTCCTACCTTGCTTTGTTTTTGTTTTATTATTGAACTTAATCCCCCCAACCCCATTGAATTTCTTGTTCAAGGGTAAGGACTTTGTGTTGTGTGTTTTTTTTAAATAATATCTTTATATTCATGATAAAATCTATATGAAAATCCTTTACATAGTGCAGGCCTCGGTAAATTTCAGCTGATCTGGATTGAATGCATGCTTATCTCTGAGCAATGTAGAGTCTGGACAATTCAGTTAACTAGTATTATTCACTGCAGTAATGTTCTATTGAGTCATTGCAAACACTGAATTAGGGAACATAGATCCATTTCCCCTAGGTAAATACACACACACACACACACACACACACACACACACACACACAGAGTTATAAATCATAATCTTAAATCTTAAAAATGATTTACCTTAGATTTTATTTTATTTATTTTACAAAAGAGAAAATAAAGTTCTGATGTGTTAAGTGACTTGTCTGAGGCCACTAATGGGTCAGAGTTGGAACTCAAACCCCCTCCACCTTGCCAAGAACTAGAGTTTGTAGGACTACACTACACTATCTCACTACCATCCCTGTCCTCTGTTCAGCTCTGAGAGCTGAAACAAGTAGGCAGAGTATCACCTTGTTCAACCTCAGCTGGAAACATGCTCATAGGGTAACTCAAATTATGTACTGTTTTGCTCATGTCCATGAATAACTGTGAAAGCACCATGAGTATTGATTTAGAAGTTACAAATACATTTTAGTGAACAGGCAAATTTGAAAATACTGATCTAGGAATAATAAAGACTGACTGTGTTAACTAAAGCTAAATAATGTTTTATAGCTATGTGTTTGAGTTGCTTTGAGTTCAGAATACATCTGCCTGTCAACAGTGCTTACTAATAATATTCGATTTAAGAATTGGATTTAGTAATAATAATTTAATAATACTTGCATTTAATAATAGCCGGCTTCAGTGGAGTGTGGTGATTTTCAATGGCCCCATCTAGCTATGTAACTAAAATGTGCCTGTGTGGCCAGCCCCCACTGTAAGAAAACCTGACCACCGACAGATTTTGGGCTTTCTCTACCAATATGTTTCACATGCACACTGGTGGTGGTTCATGACCTAGGGACAAGGAGTATCTTGTGATACCCAGCAATGGAAGAACAAAGCCTGAG